CCTGACAGACTGTTGCTCTAGTGGCTGGGATTGCAGGCATGTGTCACCACATCCAGCTAATTTTGTATTTTTAGTAAAGACAAGGTTTCTCCGTGTTGGTCAGGCTGGTGTCAAACTCTGGACCTTGGGTGATCTGCCCACCTTGGCCTTCCATAGTGTTGGGATTACAGGCGTGAGCCGCCGTGCCGGGACTATTTGTTAATGTACATTAATGTTGCAAACTAGATTTTATGAGTAAACATTTCTGTTATTATTGTCAAAAAAAAAAAAAAGAGTAAGCCTGGCACCTTGTCACCCATTTGATATCACACCATTTGGTCCTGTAGTAATAATGAAAGACTAGAGGATACTGTTTCTCAGAGTCTCTTTCTCTTTTCTAACCTTGATAATTTCACATCTCTGGGACTGTATAATGAAAAGTTCTATCTGCCCAAGCACAGCCTTCTATGAAAGACTTTGAAATGGCTTTTCAGCATATAGTCCTGGTAATGTTGGCCCACCTCCCCTAGCTGAGGAGTCTCTAGTGTATGGGAAGATAGGGTGCCATCCAGCTGAGGGAAAGGTACTAGTGAGATGCCTAATAAAATCCAGGGACAGTTCATTGCTAGTGAAGTTATAGGGTTGTTTGAGTTATTTTGTATAAAAGAAAATGGATCAGAGAACAATGTGACCCAATCTTCAACTCCTTTTTCAAATCCAGTAATTTGTACTGTGAATTGCGTCAACTGGATCAGCAATTCCCACATCGCAATAATAAACTGAACATTTTACTGAATGTTTTCTGAGTTTTTACTATGTTCCAGGAACTGTTCTAAACAAATTACATGTAATATTTCATTTAATCCTCACAGTTTTCTGAGATACCTATTTGTATAATACTCATATGATAAAAAGAAAAAAAATGATGCTCAGAGAGTCTCAAGCTGATCTCTCTTAAGTTTACACAGCTAGTAAATGACAAAGACAGAATTGACTTCCTCTGTAGGTTTAAAATCCTAAAGCATAATTCATTTCCTTCAATATTTACAGAAGTTTTATGTATCTTTAAATAGTCATTGTGGGAGGATGGATGCTATTGTTTGCACAAATGTAATTTTTTTTTTTTTTTTTTTTTTTTTTTTTTTTTTTTTTTTTTTTTTTTTTTTTTTTTTTTTTTTTTTTTTTTTTTTTTTTTTTGAGACAAGAGTCTTGCTCTGTCACCCAGGCTGGAGTGCAGTGGTATGATCTTGGCTCACTGCAACCTCTGCCTCCTGGGTTAAAGTGATTCTCGTGCCTCAGCCTCCCAAGTAGCTAGGATTACAGGCATGTGCCACCATGCCTGGCTAATTTTTATATTTTTATTGGAGACAGGGTCTCACCATGTTGGCCAGGCTGGTCTCAAATTCCTGGCCTCAAGTGATCCTCCCACCTTGGCCTTCCAAAATGCTGGGATTATAGGTATAAGCCACCATGCCCGGCCTAAATAAAAACAATCTTTTAAAAAGAGAGTCATTTCTTGCATCAGCTCTACACACTGGCATAACCTTCTGAAATGTGATCATAGTTCTTCTCCCTCCATCACACTTCCCCATCCAACATCTTCAACACCAGCCTGGGATGGGGGGATTGGGCAGTGGAGAGGGGCTGGGGAGGGATGTATGGGAGGCAGGTACGCAGTGTTCCAAATCCTTTTTCCAGGGTATTTCCCATCTAGTTTCTTCTGGAATAGCAAGAGCCTACAATCCAGGCTCAAGTGTGAGCAAAATGAACCATATGCTCTGGGGAGGGGAGAACCTCTCTTTAACATACCCTTTCCCTGACTCCAGCACACACAGGTCTAGAAGAGTCAAGCATCCTTGGTGAGCAGAGATTTTCTTTGTTCTTTTTTTTTTTTTTTTTTATGGAGTTTTGCTCTTGCTGCCTATACTGGAGTGCATTGGCATGATCTCAGCTCACTGTAACCCCCGCCTCCCAGGTTCAAGCTATTCTCCTGCCTCAGCCACCCAAGAAGCTGGGATTACAGGTGTCTGCCACCACACTGAGCTAATTTTTTGCATTTTTAGTAGAGACAGGGTTTCACCATGTTGACCAGACTGGTCTCAAACTCCTGACCTCAGGTGATCCACCAACCTCCCCTTCCCAAAGTGCTGGAATTACAGACATAAGCCACAGCACCCGGCCAAGTAGGGATTTTCTAAATGATGGTGCTAAGCCTAGAGGATTATGATAAATGAATAGAAAGCTTGGAAGACAAAAATATTCCATTCTTCTTGAAGTGGGGAAAGAGAGCAGGAAAAACAAAGTAGCTTGCATGCAATTGTGTTTCAAATGCATTATAGTAAATCTTCCCTGTTACTCAAGGCGGCTCACCCGTGCAGAGTGCCAAGGGAGAGGAATTCTGAGGTTTGTTTTTATTCATATATTTTCAGCTTCACTGTAGATACTGTTGTGTATGGTAATTCCTAGGCAGATGTTACAATGTGGAATTTCTCTGGGCGGTTTATTTGGCATTTTTAACAGGACTTGGATTAAAAATCTTTCTCCTTAAAAACTAATTCAGTGATTGAGGCCGAAAGGAGCCCTGGTTTGAAAGCCTCTCCTAAAAAACCTAAGACAATTAGAACAGTCTTACTTTCTTTATTGCCATAGGGTTGCTGTGAACCATCACAGGTTTAGGCCACAGGATACTCTCAGAGACTTCCCACCCAAGGTGGGAAGTCACACCAGTCCATGGACCACAGAAGACCCCTTGTGAGATTCCCAGTGTTAGAGATACTACTGTGTTTATAGGACCTCAGTGCAGAGTTTGTGGGGTCCTGTGTTTGAAAGCAACAGTACATACACCATTTCCTTTCCTGTGACCATCCTCTTTTCCTCATGCTCCCCTTGTAAACTAACTGAAAACTTGGTGGATTTTGACTTCTAAAAGGCTGAAATTGGAGGAGTAAATAAAATTATAAGGAGAAGAAAGGGCAGGTTGATCAGTTTAGTGGCCTTGATGTCACCCCATTATGAATTTCTGTAAGCAATGCTTCTGAATTGTCAATTTTATCAGCCAAATGTAATTTTTGTGTGTCTGTGTGTGATAGAATAAGTATTGCACATCTCAGCCAAGCTATGCCTTTCATTTTTCTCCTCAATTCCCAAATGACTTTGAAGAAGGGAAATCAATAAATCAATTGGTACTTTGTCCAATACCTATTTCAGTGACATCACAGCACCATTTGCTAAAGATTGGACATTAGTTACGGAAAAAGATGGAGACACTTTCATTTGATAATGTATCTCTGTCTTTGTGAACAAGAATACAAAAAGGAATAGTGAATTGACCTTGCAAATAGTAATTTTTGTGTTGACCCTATCAAAACCAAAAAGGGGATAATTATAGAAAGGATGATAAAATATTGTTTATATCTCAGGATTTATGATAAAGTCAGTGGGTAGTATGTTTTGGGCTTATCCTACAGTATTTCATTCAAATAAATTTTCCTTACTTTCACTAAATCAATTTTTATTAGTTTTTTTTTTCAAATCTTATTTTAGAAATTCCTTCCTGTTGACCCATAAAAATGATACCAAAATCTAACACTTAAAAATCTACAAACAAACACTTAAATTAAGGACTCAGATCTGGTTTTTGGAGAAAAAATACACAACTTGGAAGAATGCTTTTATAATACCAACAATACCACCTTTTTTATTGCTTTGTTTGTATATTCATTCATTCACATACTTTCGAATATCCAATATTTTTTGTTTTGTTTTGAGATAGGATCTCGCTCTTTCACCTAGGCTGGAGTGCAGTGGCACAATCCCATTGAACCCCCTCCTGGGTTGAAGTGATTCTTCTGCCTCAGCCTCCTGAGTAGCTGGGATTGCAGGTGCCCACCACTACACCTGGCTAATTTTTGTATTTTTGGCAGAGACAGAGATGGGGCTTCACCATGTTGGCCAGCTGGTCTTGAATTCCTGGCTTCAAGTGACTCATCTGCCTTGGCTTCCCAAAGTGGTGGGATTATAGGCGTGAGCCACTGTGCCTGGCCTCATGTATCCAACATTCTTAAATGGGGATAAAACAATAAAACCATATTTTTCTGGTCTTTCCTCCAGGTATGTCAATGTAGTTTCATTTCTAAAATTCAGTTCTAATATGTAACTTCATTTCTAAAATTCAGCCTCCTTTGGAAGCAATTGTGACACTTTTTTAAAGATCTTTCAGATTTTGCTATTATTACAATAGTGTTAGAGGAATATGCCTAAGAAAGCTACAATACGTGGGATCATAATAATCACAATGATAATGAGTGCTCTGTAGTCAAACTGGACTGGACTGAGGGTCAGAAGAGGCGAGTTCCAACCTCAGCTCAGTGCATGGGGCCTTTCTCACCTGGAGTGTGATCCTTTGCCTCTCTACTCAGTTCAGGCTTCTCACCAGTAAACTTTAGGTTTCCTTCCAAATTTGAAATTCTTTGTTTTTATGATTCTCTTTGAAGAGGCTTTGAGGACTTGGCATTCGGAGAATTGTTAGGAGTTGTAGGTTCCCAGTGAAAGATGGATTTGTGTAAAAGGAGAGCCTGCAGTCTTTTACCTGTGGGAGTATCGACCAGGAAGTCTCTGGCCGTTCAGCAAAGGTGTGCTGCCACACTGGGTGCAGTGGCATGGTCTGCGGGTTCACAGTCTAAATGCTTTCCCCTTGACCTTCTCTAAACATTAGTCATACCTTAAAATGAAAGTCTCTAAACCCCTCCTTAAGTCTATGAAGTCAGAAAGAGACTCTGTTGCTGACTTTACTGCAGCCAAACCAGCAAGTCTCATCTGAGCTCCTATTTTTTGCTGGGATCACCTAAAACTCTTAGAAATAAGTGACTTGGAAAATACAGTGAGAAGGAATAAGGTTACCTAAAATATTAAAAGGACTCAAACCACTGCTACACACATACACACACACACACATATGTACATATTTACATATGACATACCTATATATGTGGGCAAACACATATAATGGATATATTATATATGGATGTGGGCAAAGGAGGTGATCTCACCTATAAATTTTTTCAACAATATTTAGATCTAGAGAATATAATTAGTTTTCCCCTATCTTCTTTGCTCTGCAACAACAGGGAATTAGGAGGGAGCTTGGCCCTGTGCTCCCTTCTGCTCATGGCGCCTTATCTGGAGGGCAGGTGAGGAGTCCACTGGAACCCTGTGCTGGGTGTCTCGGCAGCTGGCTACCGGGCCTACCTGAGGCCGAACACAAGCGGGGCTGGCGCCCGCCGCGGCTCCCCCTACCGGGAGCCTGGGGCAGCGCCGATGGCCAGGTCCCGGGTGGCACAACCGCTTCCCAGCCGCCCGCTTCTTTGCGGCTTTGCGGGTGGGATCAGCAAGCTGCCGCCCGCGGGTCCGGACAGCGCAGAGCGGAAGCGCTCCGCCCGGGTAACAAGCATTTTCCAGCACAAGCAATTAGTTGCAAATAAACATCTGAAACGCCAGTTCTGTAAACCGAGTGCCCACCGCACGCCTCTAAACGGGCGGGGCCCTGGGGGTGGTGGGGGTGAGAGTGGTGGGAAAGATGCTGGGCCTGGGAAGGAGCCAGGGGTAGGGGTGGGTGCAGGGAGGCGCCCCACTGAGCGCTCCCCGAGTTCAGAGGCGCTTAAGTTGCCAGCGGATCAGGGCTGATCTCGGGAGAGGTAAACGACAGTCCTTGGAACACCGAGCCCTTCTTCCCTGCGGGAATCTGCGTGCGCCTGGGGTAGTCCGCACCACCCACCCCAGCTGCGGTGGGATACCCGGACCCGGGAGAGAGGGCGTCAGCCGGGCGCAGCCACTTTGCACTCGCCGGTCCTGACACAAAAGATAGTTAATTGGGGCCTTCGAAATCAAGGACTAAGGTGAGCAGAAGAGTCCCCAGCCCCTCGCTCTCGCCTTTGCGACTCTCTCCGCGTCCTGAGTCAGAACAGCGTCCACAGGCCAAGTCCTTTGGGGTGAAAGACACAGGTGCGAATTAGTTTCAAAGTGGAGGTTGCTGACAGGTGAGCGGGGTCGCCAGCTCTTTGAAGGGCCCACGGTGCGGAGGCTCCGGGAAGGGTGCAATTCTCTATGCATGTTAGCGCAATGCGCACTCCGCTGGGCCCGAGCAGTCACCAATTCTGCCAAGTGGGTGCTGCTCCGGGTACCCACTGGTGTGGTGGGTAAGTCGGGAGCAGAATAATGAAGCGCATTACCTGGGAAGCCAAATTTGCAAAGCTTAACCCAATCCTCAAGGACACTTTCTGTAGAACAAGCCGTTGGTGTATAGCAGTCATACACCTAACAAAGATATGGGCATAAAAAATGTAGAAAATAATGGGGCGAAAGTTGGACCGCCACCAGGCTTCTTGCCTTCGCCTCTTCCGCAGGCCGAGGGCAGTTTTGAATCAAGTGCAATACTCAGTGGTGTCACCTGACTTCTCCTGGCTTTGCTGAGGTCGTGATCCCTCTGACCCAAGCAGAAAACCCCCAGCCTCGGAGCAGCCCGGAGCCTCCAGGCCCCAAGTTGGCATCCCCAGACAAAGCTTCAGGGAGTTGTGGGTAAAGGAAGGCCGACGCTCAGGGCGTCCCCTGCATCTTCCTGGGGATCTTCTGGCAGGGGCTGCGACCAGCGTGTGAAAGAGTCGTCTCAGCCCTTTCCCGTATGGGTTTCTCAGGTATCAAGATTCCACGGGAGGCTGTGACAACCTTCTCCAGCTGCCCACACTTTCTTGCCCTACTGGGCTGAACCCTAGCGCAGAGACTGGTGTCTTTCCAGCCACATACTCTTGATTCCCAGCCGGGTGACCAGCCTGGTCCAGGGGGTGAAGGATGGCGGTAAAGGAGAGAGGAAGCGATTCGTCTCTTGCCTGCTTTCTTCTTTTCTCTGCCTTCTCAGAAGTTGGGCTGCTACAGAGAAAAACTTTCTAAACTACCTCCCCACTTTCTGGAAGGTTTTGCACACATCTCCCCTCCCCCAATACACATACCTTTCTCTACCTCCTGCTCCTCCCACTCTCCGGGAATGTGTAATAGGTGTGAACTGCGACTAAGCCCAGTGTCTGTAGCAGAGCCACAAGCTAAATGTGGGAAGGGGGTTCACTAGCGTTTATCTCTTAAGTTGCTGATACACCCGTGGCAAGGTAGCTTGGCTTGTTGGCCAGTAAGACGCCGAGCCCGGGGCGCCTAGGCTGTGAACACCTCGCAAGAACTGGGTCCGACTTCTAGGTCCCTGGCTTGGGCCCTTAGGCTCTGCCGGGAGCCAGAATCAGGTTCCTAAGAAAACAGAAGGGTCAAACAAGTGATCTCGCTACTTTACCCTCCCTGCCCGACCCCACCTCCCCACCACCACTTTTCTTGTTTTCTTTTTTGGTTGATGGTCTGTGCTGGGCAGGTAGCCCAAAGCTGAGGTGCAGGAGTAGTGACCGATGCCGGGGCTGGCTCTCCCAGATTTAGGAACCGCCGGTGGTCGGAGGAGAGTCGAAGGGGCATCCAACTTCTTTTGAGAGAGAACGGCGTTTACTTTCCGCAGGAGCGGGCGGGAAGACCTCGGAGCTGAGGGCTTCTCGGGATGGCTCTTTGAGCAGGTAATTCTGCGGCGAAATCGAGAGCGGGTGACTGACACGCTTGGTGACGACCAGGCGGGGCCGCACCCTTTCCGGTGATCCAGATGATTAACCTTCCGGCCTTGCGGGTAGTTGGATCTCCCCTTCTCCTTCACCCTCCCTTCCTATGGGATTAGGGGGTGCTCCTTTCAAGGAGAGACCCGTGACTCCAGACGTGGGCCCTTCCTCGCCTCCGCGCGGCCTTTCCTCGGAGCCGGGCTGGGGAACTGGGAGAGGCATTCAGACCAGTCCCTTCGCGACGCCCACCTCGCTGAATCGGGTTCACCGGCCCGGTCCCGCACGGTCCCCTGGGTCATCTCCCCCCTTAACCACTTGTCTGAAACTTACCAGATTCCAACCTTAAGGCAGGAAAAAAAGTGTTTCATATACAAACCGATCAGGGTATTTGCAGATAATTGCGAATGTCAAATACTCGGGCGTGATGACAAAGTGCAGAGATTGCCAAGGCCAGAGCTCGGCCTGAGGGGCGGGGGCTGCTGGCGGGGCTCCAGGGCCACCTCAGGACTGTCCAGAGGCTGGCCTGCGAGGGGGTAAGGCAGGCAGCCGCAACTGCCAACAGCCCATTTAACGGAGACGGCTGCTTCTTTTACCCTTCCGCTGTAGAGCTGATTCATGGATTCATTCACTGAGTCTGTACTGGAGCTCCGCTCTGGGAGGCGGTGGATACTGCACCAGCCCAGCTCTCTCCCCCTCACTCCCCGCCCCGGATGCACAAATACCCCACTGCAAGATGCCCCACAGGTGGGATTGCTGGGCCTCAGTTGGACGCCTGGGCCCAATGCGAAGGCCCTGTCAGGCGGTGCTCCCAGAGCTAATGTCCTGCGACAGGGTAGGAGCGAGTTACAGGCCACTTTAGGACAAACAACTGCACCCTTCTGATGCTGAGGTTGTTCCTCAACAGAAATAAAGAGGGACATTAAAAATATAAAGGAAGAGGAAGAAACGAAATACTCGACCGACACACCCCACTCCTCCTACTGGGTTGCAGGAAGCCATCCTGGTGCAACCAGAGCCTGGGTGCACACAGCCTACCGGAGCTGACCCTTTCAAGGTCTCAGTGACAGCAAAGGTGGCTGTTCTCAACAGCTTTCAGGGTAACTCCTCTGAGACCCTACTGTAGGCAGGCTCAGAATGTTTCAAGGGCTTTGAATTCTAGAGAGAGAGAAAGAGAGGGTGGAGCGGGGAGGGTGTTTACTCTTTTTGGATTCCACATCTACTGAAAACTGAGTGGATCAATTATTGGTGATACCATGATGTTGGTGGCAAGTCTGTGGCTTCTCAGGCCAGAATCGCAGGGGTTTGGGGGCCTGGATGCTGGGGCCGAGAGGAGCAGTGGAGGTGGGGACACCCCATTCTGCCTTAGGTGGCATAAGCTGCAGTCACTGAGGTCCTGACCCTGGGGTCCTGTGTCCTAGGACAACGCAGTGGTGGTGAGGGGCAGGGGGGTGTGTATATTGGGGAAGGGAAGCTGAAAGACCTTCACCTGACTGCTGTCTTTCCTTCCTGAGAGCTAAAGAATGTGGTGGGGATTCTTCCGAAGCCCGGGGAAGGGAAGACCAGTGCGTGTTCGAGGGTGCAGCTCGGCTGCAGAAAGAGGGCAGTCCGGCAGACTACAGGGAGCCCTCTGTGCACGTCCCTCACCCCGCCCTCAGCCCTCCTTCCCCTTTCATTGAATGTCTGAAGTCAGAGCCTACCTGGAAACCCTTAAAATTTTACACTCCACTTGTCAGAGGTTTCCAGTGATGACAAATTTGGAAAACGTTTTGATTGCAGCTCGGCACCTAAGGCTGAGAGTTGGTGGGGGGGGGGAGGCTGTTGGATAAAAGCTGCTTGGAAAAGAGACTTGCCTCCCAGCTTTTTTTTTTTTTTTTTTGCCGCGCATAAACTGGCCGGTCTGGACAAGGGATGGTGCGGGGCTAAGGCCTCCGGCTGGGGAGAGCTCCAGCAGACTGAAAGCCGAATCCGCAGAAGTTATCCTCCTGGCTCCTTAGCCACTGGCCAACAGGAGCGTTCTGGATGTCCTGCCTGCCCTTCACGCCCTTATCAGGAAGGCCTGACTCTGGCGGAAAGACCTGGCTTGAGGTCTTTCGGGAGAAGCAGCGTGGCCAGTTCTTCAAGGGACTTGCCAAGGTCCAGTGAGGCTGATGTAGAATCACAACAGCTCTGCCCTCAGTCTGGGCGGCCAGCTGGGGCCGCACGTGTAAGTTGTGATTCTATTTGACTTTCCAAATCAAAGTGCATTGATTGAGGCCCAAAGAGATCACAAGCATAACTGTCTTAATTAAACCTGCTATAGACAGACAAATCACTTCTTGCTCTTATAAATAGTGCTTGGGGAGATGGCACAGGATCTGGTAACAGCCAGGCTTGGGGGACACTCTTAAAAAAGGAAAAGAGTACCGAGACGCAGAAAAAGAATAAAAGTGCTTTCCACATCTTCAGAATATAGCTGAACTGAAACCAAAACATGGCATAGAAGGCAGGTAATGAGGGAGACCCTAGGTTCCCAGAGCAGCTCAGTGGAGGTGGGTAGCCCAGGATGGGACCAACAGTGGAAAAGCAGGGAGCCCGAGAGACCACAGGTTGTTTGGAGGAAGTCAGGTGCCCATTGCTGAGGCTCTGAGCTACCCTACTTAGCCCTGCGCTTTCATTGCCAATCCACCATTCCCTGCCACTGATCTCAGCGTCCTGGTACTGAGAGACAGAGATGGAGGACAAGTCCTCCTTTAACTTGGCCAGCTTGGGGGACAAGGGCTGACCACCAAGAGCCCAGAGATGGCAACAACTGGGGATGGCGGGTGATCACAGGAGTCCAGCAGGGAGCAGATGGGAAGAAAAGTTGTCTCTGATATTCTGGGGAAGCAGAAAATGGGGAGTATGTACACCCACAGCTCAGATCCTGCTGCAGCCAAGTGCCAACAAGGACTGGGGGACGATCTTGGGAAGAGTCAGGTGCTCCTACTCCAACTCTTGAATGTCCAGAAGAGGTTAGGTGGGTGGTGGCTCTGGGAAGAATGGGCAAGATGCCCTTCACTTGGAATGTACAAAGGGCCCGATCTGTCTCCCAGTAACTATGAGTCTCTGGAAGTTACCTGGCAGGGGCAACCCTCAGTGGACTTCGGGTCTTAAAGCCTAAAACCAGACGAATCTTCTAGCTAAAAGTGTAAAGGAAAGGTTGTCTATAATATGTAAATACAGGAGATATAAGTGCACAGGTTTGGGTGAGTTCCTGATAACTTCTGGAGCCAGCTTTTCTGTGGTCTTGGTTTGTAAACTTGACTTCCCACTTCTTTTCATTGACTATTTAGCGTATGACTCCAACAATAATCTGATTCAGAAATACTCTTCATTTCGTTAGGCTAACATTCACAAGCACTAGTTATGTTGGAATTGATAAAGAATTTAGGTAAATTTTAGCACAATACTTTTCTAAAAAATCTCTTTAAAAGTGTCTAACTTCCACACAACAAAAACGAAAAAGGTATATATCACTATGGTTGGAGGGAAACATTCTTAGATTGCTTTTATATTTCAGAGATTTTGTATATGTGCCAGCAACTCCGCAGACACTAAGAAATGGGTTATTTGCAGTTATTGTTCATGATAGTTCTTTTATATTTTTAAATTGCGGCATGGCTCCCAGGTGGAAAAATTCCTTAGAATTAAGAACTGTTTTCAAGAAGATTGGAAAACCAAAAAGAAATTATAATGTGTTATCATATAGAAGTATTTACTGAAAACAACGGATATTGAGTTGAAGTCAGAATGTAATGAAAGTTAATTAAAATGCAAACTATTAGGGAAACACTGCAGATGTCTTTCTATCATATCCAACCGGACCATCTTTAGACACTCCACCCTCTCTTATATTATACTTGTATTTTGAGACTTGAATGGTTGTCAACAGTTTTCTGTTGACAGAAATAACAACAGTTCACCTTTGAAAACTCTTCACTCAAAACTACAATGATGATTGCTCTTGAGAGGAAGGACTTTTGAAACAAATAACTTTCACACATTCACACTTACACTTGCACACCCCAAACGCACACGCAATTGCCGGTTTTTGAAAACATTGCCTCTGAATGAGAGACAGAGAGAGAGAGAAGAGAGAGAGAGGGGAGAGAGAGAGAGAGAAACTGGAACTCGAGCTTAGGTAACCAACAAACCCAATTACTAGGCTTTATTGATACTAAAAGGAAAAGTTCCCCTCGTAAAATTTCTCTGAGCTTATTAGTTATTTAAATCAGCCCCAGGGCTGGACGCGCAACGCAGCAGGCACCTTCTGTGGGCTCCTGGAAGTGAGCAGCCAGCGTCCTCGCGCCGACCTACCGCCCTGGCGCAGCGAGCCGAGGTGAGCCACTGACCAGGGGCTCAGGGCCCGGTACGCCGAGACAGAGCTCCGCGTGGCCTAGGGTAGGACACTGGGGATCAGACTTTGGAAAGGAACAGGTCCCAGTCAATAATAAGGGATAAGCGAGGAGGCCAAGAGGCTGCGGGGCGCCGCAGCTCAGCGGGCCAGCTGCGGGGCTCCCCCGACCTGGCCAGAGCGCGGGTGTTCACGCCGTGAGTCGCGCGTAGGGCCCATCAGACCTCCAGGGCTCGTTGCTGATTTGGGTGGGTCTGAGAGCTTTGCAATTCGGTGTGCACCAGGTTAATTTACACCTTTCTGGGTCACTGTCTCAAGTTGGCAACCCCTCTGTGTGTGTGTGTGTGTGTGTGTGTGTGTGCGCGCGCGCGTGTGTGAATAGTGGGGGGGGGTGTAAATAGCTGAATTTATTGAAAACAAACCCCAGCCTGCCCAGTGAAGTCCTCAAGCCCGACACGGGGTTCTCAAGTCCAGATGTGGCAGAGGGACCGCGCGAGGTGAGCCCTGTTCCTCTGGGCTCGGCTGCAGGACCGGGTGGGAACGCACAGCGGGGTGAGGAAGAACTGAGCCCAAGTCGCCGCCGTCACAGCCACCTGGGCCTTTCCCGGAGGCCAAGATCTTGACGGACTGAAAGGGTGTCCGAGGGGATTCGTGAGACCGAGAAAACAGACGAGGCGCCAGCTCCGGAAGCCCTCTAAGTTGCCCCCAACTCCGTACGAGTTTGGGCCGCGGGATACACTGCCCTTCTCGTCCCTGGCTCCAGTAGGTATCTGGGACCTTGGGTCCCACAGCCGGCTTTCTCGTCCTCTCGGCGTGGACCCGCGTGGGCCCACGGCCGCAAAGCGTTCCGGAGGCAACTGCGGTTTGGGCCCCCTTGGTCCTGGCTGCCTGAGCTTGCCCGCCCCTACGAGGGGTGGGAGCGAATTTCGGGACGCTGGCCGGCCTGTCTGAAATTTGGGGTGGGGACGGGGTGCTATGGCTTGGGCTTTCCAGGTGTGCTTTTCAAGGGGTTGTGGCAAACTGTGGGCGTTCGCATTTTGCACGCGCCAGCGCGTTTCTGTGTTGAGTGGCCGGTGGTACCTTGGGCCAGGAGCCTGCCCATCCCCCGCCACATCCTTAACCCGTGGACTGCAGGCGACGCGGAAGAGTTGGCTCCGGGAAGCAACGGGCAGAGCTGGCGCGGAAGGTTTCGGCCTCAGCCCACGTGGTGGCGCTGTCGGGAGAGGACGACGGGGCTCGGGGCCGGGACCCGGGCACTGACCCGGGCTGTGACCCGGGCTCCAGGGTGGTAGGACCTTGACGCCAAGCCGAGGCCTCGGGGCTCTTCGCAGCCACCTTGGGCTTGAGATCCTCTGCCTGTCTCCGTGTTTCCCTAAGGAAAACGCAGCGGGTCGGGAGCGCCACCCCGGGCTCCAACTCCCGCCGCTCCGAGGTGGGGGCGGAGACGCAGCGGCGGCTCCTCAGGCGCTTCTTTTTCTTCTCCCCTTGCCTTGTTGCCCCGGCTTACAGTCGATTTTTGTAAGGGAACTAGATGAGCAGGGCGGTCATTCTCTCGCAGCGCGGTTGCAGAAGGACACCCACCTATTACGCTCTGGGCTCCGCAAAAGAATGAAGGGCGCCCCGTGGGGCGTTGCCCAGTGTGGCTAGGGTGGTGCTCGAGGCCGCAGGACCCCCCGCCTTCCCAGGCCCCCAGGCCCGTGGCCGCGGAAGTGACACCCATATCTCCCACCAACGACTCCCCCAGCTCTGAATCTTATCTTCTTGCTGCTTCCCCCGGGTCAGGCAGTGCCCACACCCGACGCCTGTCTCCTACCCCGGAGACCCCAGAGCAGAAAGCTCCCTGTCCTCGCCCGAGGCAGCTCCTGGGCAGACTTTGGCACCTCCCTTCCCGCCCACCCGGCCCCTGCGCGGCCCGCCTCGCTAGCCCCTGACCCTCGGGCCTCTGGGGTGCTGGGCTCACCGCCTAGCGCCGACTCGTTGCCCACCGTCCTTCCCCACCAGTGGGCCCCTTGAGGCGCATCTCTCTGCTCCGGCCGCAGGGGCTTGTTCGTTTGGGGCCCGGAGGAGGACCTCCACCGTCCCTACCTCCGGCGGCCAACGGCTTCCTCCCCGCTCCGCCCCCTCCCAGGCCCCCTGAGCCACCGGGGGAACCTGGAGTCATTTATCTTTGCCTTGCGCGGGTTGGGATTTGTCCGGCTCTGATGCCAACGAGGAAAGCGTGCGGATAACGAAGTAAGTGTCCCTCGCCTTGCGCTCGGGTCAGTCCCCAGACGCCCGGAGCACTCTGGGAAAGGGCTCAAGCCCACCCGGGGCGAACGGTCCTCCAAGGCGCGTCCCCCCCCCTCCCCCGGGGCCCCTGGCTCTTGTTCTCTTGGCGCATCCGATTTCCAGTCTAAGCCCCTCGCGGTTATGCCGTCCGAGAAAGTGTTGGTCTCCAACTCCCCACGGACAGTCCGCGGCGGAAATTGGCTTCAGAGCTGGCGTGGGCTTCATTTGAAAGAAATGATTCCCTCCCGCCCTCCTCCCGCCCCCAGCAGGGCAAGCTCCGGGGGAAGAGGCAGGCCCGCTTGGGTTCCTAGAAGCCGTCGAAAGCTTTTGACGCGGGCGGTTCCCAAAGTTTTCCCTGCTTGTTCCAGGGTGGAGGGAAAACGCGGCACAACTTTCCAGGGCTCTTTAGGAGGCAGGGTCTCTCTGCTGGGATGGCCGAACTTGAAAGCCTTGGAGCTTGGGGAAGGATGCCAGACCCTCAGAGTTTCGGGTGGCCCAGGCGAGAGCCGAAGTCCCGCGCCGGGCACCCTGCACCCCGGCGCCCAGGCCTACGCTGTCCCCGAGCGGGCCTCTGGGAAGGAAGGTTGACCAGGGTCGAAAGCAAGCACAACAAAAACTTAGTGTTGACAAAGAGAAATCAAGAAACGTCATTAAATGTGCAGGCCATAGAAGAAGAAGGCCTCACAGAAAAGGAGAGAAGATAGAAATAAAAACCATACACCTTTAAGACTAGCATATAAAGATCTGTCGATTTTTAAAATAACAAATCTGTGTTTGTGAAAGACAGGCAGCCTTTTACTAAATGACACAAGAAAAACTTGGGGGGGTGGGTGAAGAAAAGGGGAAAAGTCTGAGCAGATTCCCGACGAAAACGTCGGTTAGAAGGAAACTGAGGGATAAAAATGTCCCCTACATGTGAACTCTGTGTTTTGAGCACGGAAGCAGACTATCTCCTAATGCACAAAATGGGTTTTAGATAAAAGTATTTTTAAAAATCGAGCGTAATTAAAACAATTCTTTCGTGTGATTTTGTTTTAAAAATGTTTGGAAATAAACCATTTGAGGGATACAAAACGAAACCAAACAAATATTTTTGAATCATCAAATTTATTTACTGTTTTAAACAGTAGAAAATCCGAGCGAAAGGTAAAAATATTATTTAAAATATATCTTATTGTCGAAATTAAACCTGCTGGAAATATTCGCTCAGTTGAGATAAGGTCAATACAAAAATTGTGCAGTAAAAAGCGTATGTAATTTGAAACAGAAAAGGCCTTTATTGGGGACAAAACTCCAGAGGAAAAAAACCCACACCGGACATACATCACAAAACTTCCTAGAACTCTCCTTTAAATCGAAATAAATTTGTAAAATGTGTTATGAAATACAACTCTACAAACATCCAAAATACATTTCTGGTCATAATTAATCTAATTTGACATTTTCCTCTTTCTTTAATGCAACTTTAAATAATTCAGGCTTTTCCTTAACATGATAGATTTTTTTTCAGTATCAGAAATGGACAAGAGGAAACTCCAATAAAGAGAAAATCAATGAATCTAAAAGGATGAAGAATCTGAAAACCAGCTAGCCACAATGTACATTTAATTGTATTAATTGTATATTTCATTTAAATAGCCCGTCTCAGAGGTTTAATAATTTAGAATCAATAGTTCCCTTCAAAACATAAAATATTTACACTTTATAAAATATTAAACGATTAACAATACAGCCATGTTGTTTATAAGAGTGTAACTGAAGTCCTGCAAATCATGCTGTTGACACAAGCCTGTGAGGTTAGCGAAGTGATCCTTAGTAAAATGTAAATGAAGATCTTCAGACAGTGGTGTTTATAAAATAGCTCATTAATGACTTAGGATTGAATCGTTCCAACCATTCGCATCATCAGATATAATAATAGTGACGAATCAGACAGGAAAGATCCTGGCTAAACCATTTGCATTTTTTTCCAGAAGTACTGAACTCCTAATATCACCAATTCTTCTAAGTTCCTGGACATTGATCCGGAGGAGGATTCGCAGTTCAACATCAAGGTAAGGAAGGAAACAGCATTGTTATCGTTGTTGAGATATTAGTAAGAAATACGTCTTTCCTCATGTTGTAAACCGGCTAAGTTTGACAATGGTAGTTGGCTTTTGCAACACCCCCTTCCCATTTCGACATATTACAGATTGAAAAAAAAGTTTGTTGCTCAAACTTACAGTTTGTTTCTTTGCAGCCCCAAACCTTTTAACTACCACCACGGGTTGATTTACTAGAGCCACTTTGCTCTTACCGACTTCGAACTGGGCATTTTCTCCAGCCGGTTTGACTGGGGGTGGGGTGCAGGGGGAGGATGGGGCTTGGTGAAGAAAACCAGGGAAAGGCAAACGCTGCCTAAAGTTCCCAGGGTGGCTCCCCTAAGATTTACTATCCTGCTTGTTTCTTTTCTCGCTGGGATCCGACAGACTCCCGGGTCGCCTGGGGCTTCTTTCGAACTTGGTGGGCGGCGCCTGGGTGCTGGGTTCTTGGTGATCTGGGCGCCGACTCTTAGGCCCGGGGCAGGTTTCCTTTCTGGGACCCTTTCTCTTCCAGAGGTTCTGAAGCCTCTCAGCCTGTGCGCCTGCCGCCCACCAGGGAGATGCGACGAGTCGAAGGCGGCCTTGTCCCGGGCACAATCGGCGGACTCAGCTTTCCAGTCTGTGCACCCAGCCGGGATTTCCAGAATTACTCCCGAGCGCGTTTCCCGAAACCGAACTGAGTTTGGCCCTCTGGCGCCGCCGTACAGTCGACGCTTCTTAAGGGGGATCGGTGGCTCTGGCGGCGAGAAGTGGGAGAGCCCTCGGGGTTCAGGGGATTAGTAGGGAGAGTAGGCTTGTGCGGGAGGGACCGGAGGCGCCACCAGTTGAGGGGCTTCTCTGGCCTCAGGGCCGCCGATGATGCGTCCACATTTTCTCACCTAAGTTCCTAGCGGCTAAGGTCCGCCGACGCCCCCGGCATCTCGCGGGGGCTGCGGCCCCTGCCCACGTGCTTTTCCTTAAGGAGGCACCGCGCCCAAGCGGAATCGCAGGGACAATAGCGCGGCCGGAGGCCAGCCTGCTTGGCTAGTAGCCGCGCCACCTTAAATGAGCACCGCAGCCGGAGTCGGGCTGCCGCCAGCCGCGGCCGCGGGAGTCGGGAAAAGTTTGTGGCTCTGTTACGCTTTCGCGGGACCTGCTGGGGACGCTCCTGTACGGCCTCCCTCAGGGCGGAGAGGCCGGGTCCTCACGGCACAGCTCTGCTCGCTCCCGCAGCCCTGGGCTCGAGCAGCGCGGGCTCCCCAGGAACCCTAGTCCTGTAGCTCGAGGACAGGCAGACCCACCGCCCTCGCCGCCACCGCGTCACGGGCTCCAGGCGGCCGGGTCTGCGCCGCTCGCAATGTCGCCGGAGCGGCGAGCGCTCCTGGGATGCCATCCAGGGATGCACCCCGCTCTGCGCCCACCACGCAACCCCCATTCCTGTGCCACCCACAGCCCGGCGGGCGGTGGCCGTGCTCCTGCCATTCGGGACACCCGGGCTATTGTTCCGGACTCGCGGCCGTGCCAGCTCTGAAGGAGAAGCGGCCTTCCCTGCGCGCGCCGCGGCACGGAGCGCGGCGGGCCGGGACGCTGGGCTAGGCGCTGAGGGGGAGCTAGCAGGCACCGGGAAAAGTTGCTCGGAGGGGCGGAGGCGGTGGGTGGTGGGCGGAGGCGGTGGGTGGGGGAGGCGATCGCCCTCCTATCTCCAAAGTCGAAAGTACTCCGCGCAGTTAACAGAGCTGGGAGCCGAGGCAACCGCGGTCGCCTCCTGCGCGTCGGTCTGCGCCTCCGCCGGCAGACGCGGCACCCAGCGACTGCCGTGTCGCCGCCGCCTCCGCGCCGGGACCAGTGAGTCTATGGGCTGAGCGAGGCGGCCGCGCCCTGGACCCGCCACAAGGAGGAGGACCAGACCCTGGGCCCAGGTGCCCGGCTGCGCCCAGACGCACCCACCCGCTGGCCGCGGCCACCGCCTCGCGCCGCACTCGGTCCTCTGCCATCGGTCCTTCGCTGCCTCGTGCGCGAGGTCCTCGTCACCCCGCTCCTACCGCCGTCTCTCTCCTTCCTCCTCCTCCCTCCTCCTTGCCTCCCACCCGCCCCTGGCTTGTCCCTCTGCCTCCTCCGAAGCCCCGCCGCCGTAGGGTCGCCTTGCTCACAGCGATTGATTGATTGATGTTTAATTTCCTGCCAGGCGGGGCCCCCCTCCCCCTGCAACCTCCCCAACCCTCCTCCCCGCCCCCCACTCCCCTCTTTTCTTGCGGTGGACCAGTCTGGCTTGGGTTTAGATCCATCCCCCCCACCCCCATCCCGAAATAACCCAGAGACTTCCCCTACCCCCACCCCAAATTATTATTTTGAAGGCGCTAGATCTGGGGACGGAAAGGGGGAGGGGGAGAAATCGGAAACCGAGGACAACCCAAAAGGACTCACTTTGCCTGATGACTCAACGCAACTAATAATCATCTCCCTCTCAGTGTGTCTTTCTCTGCGGCTTGTCAGTGAGTCCGGCTCTGGCTGCTGGCAGAGGCGGCCGAGAGGGGAGAGGCTGGAGGTGACAGCTTGGGCGGCCGCCGCCGTTTCCTCCCGCGCGCGGTCCCGGGTCCCTGCGCCTTCTCCGCTCTTGGTGTCACCGGTCCCGCCGCTCTGGCCGCGCCTCCTTGCGAGCTAGCGGCTCTGCGAACCGGCAGCCCCGGCCCGCCACCGCCGCCGCCGCCGCTGCCTTTGGGTTCTCAGTCCCTTCTCTCCAGAACGGGTCTCCTTCCCGAAGGTGTGAAAAGGCTCTTTCAGCCTCCTTCTCTTTCCCCCCCTCCACCGTCCCCTCCCCCGCTTGCTCGGGTGTCCCTTTGGAGGAGTCCTTTCCCTCTCCTCCTCCTCCCCCTCCTCCCTCCCCCCCATCATCATCATAACAACCATCTCCGCACCAGAAGAAGACACCCTGACCCAGGACCTTAAACGTTAGGACCTGGGGAAGAGGGAAGGGGAAGGAGTAAAGAGAAAGGAAGAAGACTAGGAAAATACTGCAAAACCAAGCACCAGAAACTTTCCACCCTGGATTCTCTACTTTTGCTCCATGGACAGAGCCCCAGCCAGCCAAGTTTCAGACAGACCGTGAGCAGTAAGTACGCAGGGTGAGGGCTCCCGCGCCGCGCTCGGGAGTTCGGGGAAGCCCGGGGCCGGCGAAGTTCCCTCCCCGCCGTTCTCGGCCTCTCGGACCACGAAATCGGGGAATGCAAGCGGAACCCTCGCTCGCTCGCAGCCCTCCTGCTCCGGGTCTTCATCCCGCTTCCTTCCTTTCATCTCCCCTCTGCCACCCCCACCTTGTCCCCTTGACCAGTGGCGCAGACTTTGCTCGCACGGCGAGAGCGCCCAAGAGGATTCCCAGCGCACAGTAAGGTGCCTGCCCGGGTCCTGCTTCTTGCGGGTGTTAATGACAGCACGAGCGCCGTTTCATCAGGTGTTTTCCCTCCTTCCCCGCCCCCCCATCCCCCAATCCAGGGGTGTCGAGACCTGCGGCTTCCATGAGGAGCGCACTGCCAACCTAGTGACCCAGAGGAAAACTTTCTGGAGCGATGTTGAAATTGGGGCGGATGAAGACTGCTCCTGCACTAAGAATTCAAAAGCTTTTTGCTTTTGTGTTTTATGCTGAAGATCTTTTAAAAAAGCATTCAGGATCAGATGAAGATAAGAACGCTCCAGAATAATTGTAGCGCCCGCCTTTGTGATGGAGGTTATTTTGATAAATACCTCTAAGTGTTTTCAGATGCTTATTAATGTGGAATTAGGATTGATTTTATGCAAAGTGTTTATCTCAGGATTTGCTCCGTGTAGGTAAAAAGCGGGCGTTTAAGGGGTTCTTTGCCCGGCCTTTTGGCTCCTGCCTGGCCATTCGCAGCGTATTTACCGGGTGGTTAATTTGGTTATGGACTTGCTCACAACCCCCCGCCCCCTACTCCCTTACCAAGTGGGTGGAACGTCTTTTTCTGAAGTTCCTTCCTTCCACAACCGTGACCCTGGGATGGGCTAGGCTGTTGCACCCAGGAACGGTTTATGCCAATCCCGTCCCAATGAATGGACCACTTTTAGGCGCCCCTGGGTGCCAACCCGGGCCGCGACCCCAAGGGCTGACTTCTGGGGAGCTGCGACTGGGCAGAGTTGCTGAACCCAGGCGCTGGGCTTCCTGGGGGCCGCCCAGTGTAAGATTGGGACCGGCTTCCCGGCTCGGGCCCCTCGGGCAGCGTGGGAGGAAGTTTGTGTGGCTGTGGTGCAGCGCTCTGCCACTGGCCTGAACGTCTATCACGTGTGTGAGCGGTTTTCCCTCTTTTTTCTCCCTCCCCCTTTCCTCCCCCCACCCCCTCCCTAGGTCCCTGTGCGTTTTATTGCGACCTGCCGGTGGGAACTTTGTCTCCGAGTCGGAGCAGCATGGAGCGGCGGAGCGAGAGCCCGTGTCTGCGGGACAGCCCCGACCGGCGGAGCGGCAGCCCGGACGTCAAGGGGCCTCCCCCGGTGAAGGTGGCCCGGCTGGAGCAGAACGGCAGCCCCATGGGAGCCCGCGGGAGGCCCAACGGCGCCGTGGCCAAGGCCGTGGGAGGTAACAGCCCGGAGCAGGGAGGCGCGCAGCCCGAGGCCCAGTGATAATGGCCCGGGTGTCAGGGTTCAGGTTGATTAGGCACTGTCGCGGTGTAGGATTACAGGAAGTGAATTCCAGGTTGCCAAATAATGCCCCCGTCGCCTCTCATCTGCAACTGGTAGCTTCATCTCGAGTTAAAACCAGAAAGTGGTTTTACCCAGAGGGTGGCATTTTTTGGGCATTTTGCCACCGTGTGCTGAGGTGTTGGCAGGTTTATGTCACAGCCAGCTAACTGTTTCTAGATTTTCCTAGAGAGCTTTTTAGTGATTTAACTCTTTTGCCTTGCCTCAGAGTGTCTGTTGTAGGGATGAAGTTTAGGTGCGTTCGCTTTTAGGGAATAAAATAATCGTTAATACTCAGGCGAGTACAGGAACAAGGACAGTTGATGTTACTTTGTAGTTAGGACAGTGCTTCAGAGACAGATGAGTGACAACTGGGAATATTTCCGGCCAGGTGAAATGTGGGAAATAAAGAATCACCATGAATCCATCAGGCCCTTACAAGCTTAAATGCTGCTGCTGTCTATAAAGTTTAGTTGTATGCGTTTGTAACTTTGTTATAAATTATAGGACAACAGGTAAAAATAGCAAAGTAGCCTTGTTATCTATATGCTGTTTTACCTCCCAAGAATTTATTAGTAATTTTACTTAAAGAAAATCTTCTGTAGTTTTTACTACTTAAGCAACTACTTTCTTTTAAAGTGGTCAGGAAAAGCAATCATATAAAATACAGATATGGAAGATATTTAAACATTGAAATATCTTGAAGTTTATATGCCATTTGCTTAGTTGTCTTTTACATGTAAAATACATAATTCTACATGGCATGCAGGTTTTCTGTGCGTTTGGGATAAATTACTAGTTTAATTTTTTTTGCTTCTGATTTTTCTCTCTAAAATTTCAAAAGTAGCCCATTTAATTTAATTTTTCATATTAACCTGTCTTAAATGATATAAAACCTTGGCAAACCTTAATGATAAGTTCCCACCCTCTTGTTATAAGTGTCTATTGTGTGTATTTCAAAGTAGATACCTACTTATCTCTAAAAATGTTCACTACCCTTTAAAGAGTTAAACACGTATGTTTTATAAAATCATTTATTTTTTCTTTTTACTTATTTTGCTATTTCTATTTCTTCATGGTAAGCATGGTTTGTCTCAGTCCTTCATATTAATCATCTCACTTGAGAGGTATTCATCCTTTCAATGTTGTAAATTAAAAAAAAAAAAATTCGATGATAGATTCTGGCTTGTTTATATCCCCTTTTTGGGACTTGAAAATATACTTCATTGAAGCAAAAGAAAACTTGACAGTTCTGTGACTTACATTTTAAAAGTGAGGCTTATTAATTTGCTGTCCTAATACTGGAGCAAATAATGTCAGACTTTTTGTATAACCATTTAGTATATGCCTATGAGAAAGAAGAATATATAGAGAGTATGATGGTACCAATTATGAGATATGCTAAGTGCTGAAAATGTTTGTTTGAAAAAGTTTTGGAAATCCTTGGAGGCAGTGTGTTTCAAAGTGGCCTTTGTGGACAGAAAAGGCTTGGACTTAAAAATTTTGGTATCTTTCTGACAATATAAAAAAATTCACTAAATTGAAAGGAGTCTCTAAACATTTTAGAATGTAATTGTTAAGAATTTTGCTTCCCTAAACAATTTTTTCCCCTTCTTCTATATCATATCGAACTATGAAGGAAAGTACCTCAGTCTGTTGACCAGGGATACCTTTGGTTTTTGGTTGCTTTTCAGATTTTCTGAGACTACAGTTCACATTTGAGTCCTTATATATTTGCTATAAACTAAAATTATTATCTTGGTGAAGAATAATAGATTCGTTTCAACCAGCTGCACTGGACACTTTCTCTTAATTAACTGTATTTAGTAATAGCAGAGGTCTTATTAGCTGCTTCCCAAATTGAAAATAAAGATGACATTATTTTGTCTTAATACATATCATTTATAATACTTGATAGTGAAGTGGTTGCAATAGTGTATGTTTAGTGGAATTTAAATTTGTTTTAAAAGAAAGCTTTTACTCTGTATAGTATAATAGATTGTAAAGAGATTAATTTAGACAACTTTGGAGTATAATAACTTAGAAGATAAGATTTTGATAGTACAGAGCTTTCTAATTGAATGGTAACAATTACTTTATGAGTTTAAGTTTATATAATTTCCAAATGTACATTAAGATGTTAATAATTTCTTTGTAACTTTTAACCATGTATATAGTTTGGAGCAAAGCCAACCCTTTTAAAAATTGCACATTCTAAATTTAAAAAAATGTTTAAAATTAATTTCTACTCAAAAGTTTTTTGTAATTAAAGGTTTTTTTGAACATAGAGTAAATATAAAGTAGATTATATTTCTACCATTCTATGTTCTTTTGTTTAAATTTTCTATATAAAGCAATATAGTAAGCATAGATAACTACACAAGTATTTGTGGCTCTGTATTATTTATTACCATTTTCAGATATATTGCAGTCGTGTCAATGGTGTAAAGACAGATACAATAAAATTTGTCTTGAAAGTGTAGCTAAAAATTTGGGAGTACATATTTGTTAACCTTTAGTGTTCCTCTTTCTTAAATGCTGTTCTTTTAAAAATAAGGGACATGAAGTTAATTGAATGCCCAATCAAATAGCAATTTATCTTACTGCTTTTGATAAGCAGTGAGGTAAATATATTTTAAATATATTTATGAATGCATTGGCAATAGTAAATTCTACTGCTGTTACTCTACTTGTTTAAGAAGAGGGAATTTGCTGTGTTTTTGGTGAGAACTAAGTATTCATTAACAGGGGGGCATTATTTTAGTGTCTGAATTTAAATAGTAGAAGTGGTAGATACACTGTCACAGTCTTTAAGGTTGTGTTTTATTTAACAGGGGTCTTAAAAGTGTGTTGTTTACAATGTGGTTAGTTTTAGAAGACTGTATGAGAAACTAGATCAGTTTTGCTTTATCTTTGCAACACTTTCTAGGATGTTTTTGCTCTTATCTGAGCGGTGTGTTTTAAAGCATGTATCTAATAAAATATAAGGGCTCAGATGTATATGCCAGTCAGCTTTCATAGAAGGTCCTTAGGAAAAAAAGGCTAATATCTCTTTAAAAAACATATGAAGGCTGGGAGAGAGTTTAGAGCTAGCAAGAGCACCATGGTGTTGACAGCTTTATATCCCTGCTGGGTAACATTCACTTACTAGAATTGGCGTCCCCTCTCAGCTAGTAATTCACTCCATAAGGATTTTGAAAAAGGATGATTAATGGTGGGGAAATTTATATTTGTGAAATTGTTGATTAAAACTTACAGATCTATTTGAAGTTTTAGGAAAAGAAGAGATTATTAAGGATGATGAAAATTAGAGTCAGATGATCCTTTTTACCGCCATTAGCATAAGCACCTAAAATGTTCTGCTGTGTGGAATGCTTCAGCCACGCAACTTAACAGCATAAAATGAAAGTGATGCCAATCAAGTTTCCAGAGGAAGCAAGGTATTCTGCTTTTCTCCTGGACTGCTGAAAGGTGCTGGCCAGTTGTGCTTTAATGGCAGTAAATTATTGTGCTTCATTCATTGTTAACACAAGCATTTTCATTTTTTAATGTTTGGCTTAAAGAAGAACTTTTAGGCAGCTTTATTTAAACTGAATGAACAGCGCTTGAATATACCAGATGGTGTATTTGCTGATAGGAGGCATTAAACATCAGAAATCTTTTTGATATTTTTAATTTTCCTATGAATTTTTATGATTTTTTTGATGATAAATGTTCTAGATTTTAGGGAAAAATATTTAAACATTGAAAATATCTTTTAGAAAGATTCGCTTTTTTAAAAAAATTTTTGCTTATTTTTGAAAAATAATTTATGTTTTATAAATAACAATTTAATTTTGTTGGCATACTCTCTGTCGAAGTTATCTTATAACTAGACTACCCAAAGTAGACCTATTTGTGCTACCAGGCAGCCCTTTCAAGAATATAACTGTCTTGTTGCAAGGGGAAAAAAATCATTATGCAGTACACACTGATGTATTTAAATAGGGAAGCAAATGTGATCAAGATTGTTAGTCAGGGCCTCATTTCAAGCTGAACATTGTCTACAACAACAGTTAGTTTAATTGTCTACATGTGGAACATTTCCTTTCAGATGAAAAGAAATGTAGTTCAGGTCAGGTGTAGTCACCATATCAGCAACAGTAGAGAGACATTTAACTTTTTGAAAGGAATGCAGATATGAAAGTATAGATAGGTATATATGGAGATGTATAAAATACTTAGAAAATTAGAAATATATTGTAAACATGGGTAAAATGGAGAAAACTCCATTTCCAAGGATGAATATCATAATACTTGTAGGAAGGACTCATTACTTCAAAAGAGAAAAGATTGCATTTCTCCCTCCCACCCACTTTTTTTTTTCTTTTCTTTTCTTTCTCTCTCTCTCTCTTTTTTTTTTTTTTTTTAAAGGGTGTGAAGACCTTTTAAATAGAATGAACTTAGGCTTTGGGGTCATCCAGCAATCTAACATGTCCTCTGTAGTTTTGCTGAGGTAGAAAAATAACTCTTCTCTAAAGTGTTTTTGGTTCTTGGCCTGTTATTAAAATAAAGATATACTTGGTTAAAAAAATATATGCAATCGAACATACACATTAAATAGAACATAGGGTATCCGCCCCTCAAAGTCCTGAGCATAATTTGATGTTTCAAGTAATTTTGGAAGCCTTATGTTCCATCAGCAGAAACCCACTGACCATTGTGTATTCAAGATCATCTGTAGTGTTGTGTGTGTGTGTGTGTGTGTGTGTGTGTGTGTGTACGAACGACATAGATGTCTCTTAAGGCATCTGATTTTTAACCCATGCAGAAAATAACCAATATCATCCTTTCCCAGAGGGTTGTAACCAGCAAAGTCTGTACATATGAGATATCTTGTGTGAATTCTTCTTTTCTTTC